ATATATATATATATAAAAAGTAAAATAATTTAGTAAAATCAACAAACAGAAAACGACGACATCACATAAAAGCCAGTCTGTAAAAATGTGTTTTAAGAAGTGATCTAAAAGAGATCAGTCACTCTCTAATTGTACTCTTCGGACTCATAATGTCCTTTTATTTATTATAATAAAGACATCTTACATTTACAAGGGAATGTACTTCATTGGTTAAGCTGCGTTTGAGTTATGTTTAGTTGGTGCTAGAGAGGCTGTGTGAATCCGGTCCAAACCATTCTGCCACTACAAGACAATGTACAAAATGCCATATTGAAAACATCTGTAAAGCTTGCACTCTTCACAATAGTTAAAACAAAAGATCTCGTAGAAAAATCAATACACATAATCTCCTCAATACCAGCTGTGTCCTACGTACATCGTGCATGAATCAACAGTCACTAATAAAAACATTCTCACAATACATTTTCACATATTGCAGTTAAGAAATGTTCCAATATAATTTGAGCTTGCCCATTGATACCGAGTACTGATCCGACGCCAGTGCGTTATAATAAACAATAAAGCTAAACGGGTCACAATTCCTTCTGTAATTTCTATTTTATATTGCTATGAAAACATCTTTAAACGAATGTATTTAACCGTTTATCGCCAAAAAAAACGAGATTTAACAAGATCACATTTGTACACAACGTTATAATGAACCGCCCAATACTCATTTTTACTGAATGGAGCTTGAACGCCTCATAATGTAACTCAATGCAACCTCCGTACATTAGCTGTTAACTCCGTTGTTTAGCCCCTGACAGCTAGCATTGACTAGCTCTGTGTTTAACCACAGGTGGGTAGCACTAGTTTGCACATGTGCAGTAGCGACCGGCTAGCGAGCGACATGTTGTTCCTTTTGTAGCGTAAGTTACTTTATAAATGATATAATGTGATATCGGTGCATAGACTCTCATACTCACTCCATTAGCTACGGCTGTATTGGAACAAGTGGATGAAGTCCTACTTACAATGCATCTTTTGAAGGTTGAGGTGTGCGCCATGGGGCTGCATTGCACCTTCTAAGCTACTGACTTGTGTGTAGGTCTGTGTGTGTATTTGTTGGGTTGTTGCCAATGAATAGATGGACGTTTTGCACCTCAACATGCACTCTAAACACCTTCTGTCACTTCACGGTCACACCTGACTTGCATATTCTGTAAGCTGTAATTATTATCTTTGAGCACAACATCCCTCACGCCTGAAGAATTTACCCATAATGCTTTTAGACCAACTGAGAAATGTCATATATTGGTGGTTACCACCTGAATCTGTGCCAGGTGGAGGCGTTATGTCACAGCTTCATAATTTAATTGATTTAAAAGACGTAAGACATCAAATCTCGTTAGTCAGACAACAGGAATCCTCAGAAGATTGACAGCTAGTCGGATTCTCAAGATGTGATGAATAAAATATCCAAGTTCTCACGGGTTAAATGTGTCTCCTCCACAGAGATGGTGGTGTCTATGAAGAACGTGGCCGGCATGGACGTGGAGCTCACAGTGGAGGAGAGGAACCTCCTATCGGTGGCCTACAAGAACGTGATCGGAGCTCGGAGAGCCTCCTGGAGGATAATCAGTAGCATCGAGCAGAGGGAGGAGAGCAAGGGCGTGGAGGAGAAACTGAAGATGATCCGGGAATACCGGCAAACGGTAAAGTACCAGGATGTCACTTCACTCCCAAAAACAAGCTCAGTATTTGTATTTAGTCGGCGGTCTGCAAGGAGCACATTGTCCCAAATACATCTTCTCAGATTTTGCCGTGCTAATGTGAGATCACTATGCTCATATTAAATATTACACACCATAAGCAGCTACTGGACACACTGCATCTGAGTCATAGTTTGGCAAAGTCCTCCGCTCTGTCTGGCTTTTATGAAGGAGAAATATGAGCTGGCTGTTAGTGTGGGAGAGAGAAGGGAGAGGCTGCAGTCAAATGACCTGATGGGACTCAGAGTCAGCTAATCCTGCTGTGGTTCCTCCTTCGTGTCTTCTGTTGTACCTGCGTGTCTTCTGTGGTACCTGCGTGTCT